GTTTTTGTTTGAAATTTGATTATTTTGGCTTATAGCTTATGAAAGTCAGAAATCCAGATTTTTTAAAAGGAGAATATTTCATTTAAATGTTTGTAAATTGCGATACAAACAGTATAAATACCATGTATCTCTCCATCTAGTTGAGTACACGCAACCACAATCATGGGAGAGACTGCTGACTGGAAAGCTGTCCAGAAGATGAGCATCAACACCCTCCATGAGGAGGACTGACCCCAGAAGTTAATTGCTGAAAAGGCCATTAACTGTTCCAAAACATGTTAACGGAATTTTGACTGGAAAAGGCAAAGTGTGCTATGAAAAGGTGCACAAGCATGACTGCAGTCTTAAGGGGATTGCCACAGCTATTAAAGTACCATGCATGCTGATGAATAGCTGCTTTTGCATAACTTTGGCCCCGTTTGCACATAGCAAAAACAACGATATTTCAATGCATTTGGGCCTTTGGTTTACACAAAGCTACAAGCAGTGGTGGCTGGTTAGTACACATACCGCCCCCCCCACTACTAATGACCAGGTAAAAAGTAGTTCTCAAACGTAAAATTAAATTTGAATTAATTATGACAAAATAATAATAAAATTAACAATAGCATTCATATTCTTTTGCTATATTAACAATATTTGTATTATCAACAGATTTAATATTGGTCTTTACTGCGTGTTTACTAACTGTACACATCCTGGATGCGGGGCGCGGCCACCTGAGTGTGTATGTAGCTCGAGAAACATTTCGTGATCATGTGACCTCAGCCCGGGCTCTGATTGGCAGCTGCAGACTTTCTCACGGGACGCAGCTCGGTGCGTCCCGGACCCGTCCACTTTTGCTGTAAGCCAGTTAATTTTGTTTTGATTTGCTTTTGTCTTCTGTGGTTGGATGTCAAAACTGTCCTTCGACGTTCTTACAACTGTGCTATCTGACACCATTGCGGTCTTTCCCCTCCTCTTCTTCGAGATGCCAGCTACTGACTGACAGCTTAATGCGTTGGCCTGCTGCCAATGGAGAAAAGGTTGCTCATAGAAAAGAGCGCGTGTAGAATACATGTAACTCGGTTTAACGGCGGACAAATATGACATGAGAACGCCCAAGTTTATTGTTTTTAAAGTAATTGTGGCCGCTGTCAGAGCATCACAACCACCAACAGCAGCAACCACAGCCTGCTATGTGGGGCGTTTCGGGAGCATCAGTAAATCTCAGAGTCTATCGATAAGAAAAAGTTAAGCAATATTAAATGTTAAGCATACGTTTTGCCTTTGACCAGGTGGAAGATGTGACTGAACGAGAAAGTGGGTCTATCACTGAAAAAGTTAGTCTGGAGCCCTGAACAGTGTTT